ATGGTGTCTCTCTGGTTTTTGGTCACAATCACAGTCTTGCTCTCCACACGTGCCACATCCTTAGGGTCTGTACGTGCTAACCAGCTGGAAAAAAAAAAAAGATTTAGGACCAGAAAGGTAGACTTTTATGCCAACATGTTTGCAAGGTCCTCACCAGTTCTCATATTTAGGGAGTTTCCTGACCATGCCCTCCTTCTCCAGGCCCGCGAGAATGTTGGCCGTTTCCTCCGGTGTCCCTGTGACCACGTGGACTCCACTGGGCTTACACTCGTCCACCGCTCCCTTCACAAAGTCTGCCACAGCAGAGGGCAGCGAGGAGAGCGAGGCCAGGGAACGTACCCTGACATTAGCCCCCACGCCATGCTGTCTGTGGAAACACACACACACACACAAAAAAAAAACAATCTCGTGACATCTTTTTGGGGACTTGAACATAGTCAGTTTTTAATGTAAATGTTTTTATTCACAGGGCGGTTTATGTGGCCGACTCAACACAAACACACCTGACACACACACATGCACTTATAATAAATATCTTGTTTCCTTCACTGTGTGTCAGTTAAGTCCTTTTCTAATCTTTGACCCCGTATCTGATGCTGACAGATGTGTTTGTATCGGGGATGATATTTAGAAAACCAGAGAGAGAAAGAGAACGATTCCATGAAGGCTGTTGACAAATGCACGTGGAAATAAGCCACCGTTTGTTCTTTTGTTTCAACGTCAAAAGACAGTGTGCATCACCCTGTTGTGACAAGTATGCTGCTGTTCCACTGGTTGGTCTGTGCAAAGATTCAATGGCATCGACAGTCAACGTCAGGAGAGACAACAAAAAGTTTGAAATATGATTTCCAATATGTAACACAATGTACTTGAAAGTATTTATAAAATTTAATTATCTGAAGAACAATGTTTGTTGTCTTGCATTATTACATGCTTGAATCAGGTGCCGGAATGCTGGCAGATAGGGTGAGTCTGGTGCCCTCAACAGTTTGTTCATTTACTGCCCACAGAGAAATTACAAACCACAACTACTGTTGTTAATGCCAGACATTTATTCAGGTAGCTATAATCATCAAAGTACTGGTCAATTTATTCCAATGGGTGGAATTTTTTTACACTGATGGTCATAATGTATAGTGCTGCATGATTCAGACACAACTTCTGCTTATTCAGTAGAAAAAGATAACAAGCAACAGTATGGGTGGAGGGCAAGGAGCTGAGAGGGCTGGACTGTCAGACTCAGGGTCCAAACTCTGCTCTGCCAATGTCTAACCACTGACGTCAGAACAGTCACGTGATCAGAGACAGACGTACCTGACAGTTTGATTAATATTGTTTTCCATCAGATATTTAGAGAATTCCAAAATTATTTTAACTGCACCGATAAGATGGAGAATGGCCGGTCCATGGGGTCTGAAGTCAAAGTTTGAGCGCCAACACATGCTTCAATGAATAATTTACCTCTGTGTCTGTGATATTTAACTGAAACATTAAGTACTGGCCTCATGATAGTGCAGCAAAGGGACTGAACTCAAACCCTCTGGAGTATTTTTTATCTAGACCCAGAGAACACTGGAATCACTGTGTCAGCCTGACTCTGATCTCTATTTTTGAACACAATCCATCCCAAACGTTAAGTGCCACGTCTCTCTTTACAATAGGAATCTGACTGGTACTGTACGAGGCCTCGGGTGTGATTGGGATTATCTGGTGCACGTATGACTTTATTCATCAGATTGACAACAGTTTCAGTGAGTAAACTGGTGGGAACTCAGCAGGGTGTTTTAGTGCACTTCAATGTTTAGTCATTATGTGGCCTACATGCTGACCTTTCACACCCCATCACTGCCATCCTCATGTCTTTGTCTTTGTCTCTACCCCCTCACCCCCTGAAGTCCTCATCCCATCCCCCGTAAAAACTGAGCAACAGCTCAGGGAAACTTACAAGTTGAGACATTCGATCCCTGAGACAAGCAAAGGATAAACCTGATACAGGAGTCATTTCCTCAACAGTCTCTTGGCTCCACCAAACGGGTTTTCCTTTCCTCTCTCAGTTTCAAACACACCTCCAAAGCTAAAAGCCAATCCTGACGGACCACAGCCAAACACGCCTACACTACAGCACGGGGGTGCTGTAATGCCCTGATGGATCCTGTAGTCTCTCCAGGGCAGAGTTAACACAAGGCTGTTGCATGTTTGTCACTTAGAGTTGAAGAAAAAAAAAACATGCCGGGCAAAGTGCAGGGTAACAGGCAAACAAGTTGCATTAATGGACAACTGGATGTTAGGGAACGTCACTGTCCTCACAGAAAATCACAGGTTTTCCCTCATTCGTTAAAATGTGCATTTATATGGGCAAACAAAAGCAGTTACCCACACATAAACAGTAATCATGAAGGGCTCATTTTCTGAGGCCTGTGTGAGAGGAAGGGGGGAGGGGAGTGAATACATAACATATACATACTGTTCTAACTAATGCTACTTTGTCAACCTTTTTTGGATATATAAATAAAACACTAATACGTGTATTTTATGAATTAAGGTCCTAAATAACGCTTTAGAAGTTTTCACCTTTCAAAATAAAAGCACGATATCAGCCATTTACTGCATGGCAACCATAGGTGATAAAGTAAGTTATGTAATCTGTAAAAGGTCTCACGGTGCTATTCTACTGATAATATTAAGCCCGATGGAAAGGCTATTCCTTCCATAATAAGTTCAAATAATGTTTAAACGTATTACTTTGTATGCAGAATAAATATGGACTAACTGTAAATAATGTTAATTGTAAGTGGAAAACAAAAATTACATTTTAAAGAAAAGTGACTCACCTCCGGATGACTCTCAATAAATGGCTCGACATGTTGGATGCAAAAATAAAAGCAGCTTAAGATGTTCTTAAAAAGAGGCACATGCAGATGATGAGGTGGTCTGTGGCTGCACTGAGCGTGAGTGTGTGTGTGTGAGCGTGTGTGCCCACACAGGACCTTGTACTTTGTTCACACTCGAACACCTGGATGTTGCTGAGCACACAGTCCACTGCTGTTTGTCCCCCAGCTTTCAGTGCGTCTCTGACGGGTGAAGATCTTGAGTTCAGCCGATGTTCTCTTTGAGCTCTCAGTCCATGTCCTGTGCGTCCAGCTGCTGCTGCTGCTGAGTCCGGCAGACTTTCATTCACACACCAATCTGAGAAGACCGGCTGATGCAAGTTTCACTAGTCAGGACCATCAGCCGCAACCCGAAACCCGGAAGTGTGTGAGCCCAGGCCACGCCCATATCCATACGCAGGCCAACGAGCACAGCTGGAGAAGATTAAAACTTAATTCGAAGTTGAAACTTTAACAACAAATATTTAGAAAACTATCAGCCCTCTGCAAGACATTTAAATTAAGTTTAAAAGATATCACAAGTGCATTTACACTGTGCAATAAATTAATGCAATATTGACTCCAACACTCCATATATAGTCCAACAATATTGTGTATATACTGTGGTAGCCGGTACCATTTATTACTTTTATGTGTACCGATAGGAATGTTGAACAAGTAGCAAGAGTAAAATCCCAACTGTTAAACTCAGTGTTGCCCTGCTGTAGGAAAGGATTCTGCTGACACTAGCCCACTAACCCGTGCTTTCCATTAACCAATTTATAAATAATTAAATAGTTTAAGTAAGCTTACTCAAATCTTTTGAGTCTACTTAGTGATGACCCTGATGACATTGTCTACTTCTACTAGACACGAAGGTGATTTTTATCTTGATAACAAAGTCTACTTAGTGATGACCCTGATGACATCGTCTACTTCTACTAGACACGAAGGTGGTTTTTATCTTGATAAAATGTTTATATATATTATTATATATATATTATTATACTGTTTTGCACTAATTTTCCTGTATTAAAAATAAAAAAGTAATATTCTATTTTGGTAGATTTGTTCTTGAGTTATTTGTCCTGTCACTTTCAATCATTCAGGTCTCAAATATTTGTACAAAATGTTTTTATTATATGCATTAGACTAAGCAAATACTGACTCAGCAAACCATCATTACTTTATATGCTTAATTTTGAACTCTTTGAACATTTTTTTGTGAGGTTAAACATCAGCTTACATATTCTCTACACGCATGCACCATCAGCAGACATGCAATGAGACTGCAGAGGAAAGTAAAGCTTTTTTTTCCCTCCAAACCAATACATATTGTTCCCTCGTACTGTTTGTGCAGCACCATCCGTCTTCCTTGGTGATGTAATTAGTATGTAGAAGCATGGTGTTGTGATAAAACACAAACTTTGTACTGATTCACAAATCTGTCTAGCTCATTTATTCCTCCATCTATGACCCTTGCTCCGAATGTTTCTCAACAGTTTGTCTGAGCAGAATAACACCGCCGTGCTTTAATCACTCACATAATCAAACCACTCACTCAATAGCTGCGTGTGCTCATGGTGTAAACAAGTGCAGCCTTTGCTCCCTTACTGTAGGTCCATCCAACCATCAGGCTATGTTTTAAACTATAGATGCTCCTATCTAAATGTACAGTATGTGTTACATATTAAACAGAAATCAATTTAATTTGACTCACATACTGTTATCAGTGATGAAAAAATAAAATCCTAAGCTTCATCAGCTATTTGATTGCATCTGGCGTGTTTACCTGTTTGAAGGCCCAGTGAGCTTTGACACCATGTGTGTTGGTGCAGTGATCACAGAGCTGTAACAGAGAAGGGAACAGGGCTGCGTTTGCTTTGACAAGCATTGACGTCTTTCAGGTTCCTAAATTTATTTATTTTCAGGCGTTAACTTGATTGTACCAGACCTTGTGTATCCACGTAGCTAAAGATCAAAAGGGTGAATGTGACTTCTGTTGTTTAACAGCAGGCCTTGTTAAATTGGACAGATGCCAGGGACATGGACCTTGGTCCTGCAGTGATCAATATTCAGCCAGATAATGTGAGAGATCATCTCATAGGGTTTACCTCATTCTTTCAAAGTGTATCTTTCGAGCGTTGGTCATGTTGTGACCACTACAATATATAAATTGACAGGAAAGTACTGTCCCCCCAAAGACTCTTAAGAATACACACAACAAAAACAGTGCTTTCAAAGTCTCCATTTTTACTCTCAAGAACATTCCCTAGCAGCAGTGGAGACTTATCTGCAGTCACGCAAACTCACTGAATTAAGTTCAATCAAACAAACCAACTATAAACACTTTTTTATTATTATCTGCCTCTGCATCCTGTAATTTACGACAATATAGGTCCGGTTGCTTCTCTTCGCACAGCAGCACTATCTAGTGGACAGAGTCAGCTGTTACAGAAGATGTGAACGTGTTGTGAACGTTTATTTTTCAACAATATACTGTTCAACAATTGTTGTAATACTTCTGTACCATTTTATACTAAATTAATTAAAGAACGAACCTTTCACTGTGTCGTGTAAATCATTTCAATGCTTACATTTAATGCTGTTCTTTCTTTCATTGCACCAGATGCTGCGGTAATACTAGTAGTAGTAGTAGTGAAATATTACAATAACATATAATAAATATTAAAATTGTTATAGTAATTCTACCGATATGGTGGTCAGTAGTTTTAACAGCAGTGTAGTATTAACAGTAGCAGTGTACGAATAGTAACATTAGGATAACATGGAGTTTTAATAGTAGCAGTTACACAAACAGCAGCAATGTATACAACAATACAGTATTACGTTACGTTATCATTAAACAAAAGCAGACCAACGTTTAGTAATTTGATAGTCTTGACTATCAAAAGAGGAAAATGAAAAAATCACTACAGTTCCCAGGATGCAACATTTTGTCTTTTTCAACGGGGAAGTTCGGTAATTTTGATATAGCGAATTACTTTCGTTTTCGATTTTGTTCCTGTTGCAACGTCTACGCATCGGTGTCGCACTGACGAAGGTTTTTTAATGTTCCTGGTGAGTTTAGTCGTAGCACGATAATACATTTTATATAACTTTAATATTTTGAATCTACAGACGCGACATGGCCGCCATGGATATACGACTCGATTCGAGCAAACAGGTAAGAACCAGTGTGTGTGCATGTGTGTGTTCGTGCTTCCAGAAGTTAAGTTGAACACCTCAAAGACAGTGTTCAGGTTCAAATTCCTGCCATATATCAGTTACACACAGGTAACAGGTGAACAACAGTGTATGTGAACGTGTCTATGCGTGTGTGCGCGTGTGTGCGTCTCTTCTACTTCCACTATCACTTTCTAACTGAACTCATTTATTACAGGTTGATGACTTCTGCCAGAAGCTCAACAAAGAGGTCATTGAACCGAATTATCGTTAAAAATCAAATAAAAAAATTACAAAATTGTCATTTTGAAAATTATTTTATTGTATGTTATTATATTTTTCTAACAGGCAGAAGAACTGGTGAAAAAGTTCTTCCCTCAGAAGATTGAAGAGCTGCAGCTGTTGTTAACGGTATTTGGCATCAGTAGAATATTGTAAACAACCGTACAACAACTACAAGTGAATAAATCATACTGATAACAAACAGTTGAGCATAAAACTGTATGGGAAAATATATTCAGGATTTAGTCAATACAGCATAAACTGGGTGAATGTTTTTGGTTGCTGAAATGTTGTTGTAAGACACTCTGAATATTTGCTCAAAGGTACAACTTGGTGAATTGCAAAAAAAAAAAGCAAACAAGCAAAAAAAAACTACAACTGAACTTATAGTGTATCAGCCAGAGTCACATTATATGGTGGCACAGTGTGCATCTGCATTATTTGATTTATTTCCACTGAAACAAATAAATAGCGTGTTATAGTTGTAATGTACAGAGTGTAGGTGTAATAAATTACAAGGGAAAGTAATCTATTAAATCAGCTCCTAGTAACTCAAGGCTCATTTATAGTAAACCAGTGTGATGCAGTGTTTATTATGAACTTAAGTGCTGTTCTGTTCTTAAGTTTGGGTTGTGTTTATTCTCTCAGACCTTTTCCACCTGCGACAGCCTGGAGTCACTTAAGGCACCACTGGACATCCCCATTCCTGACCCGGCCAAGGAGGAAGCCAAACGCAAGAAGAAGGAGGAAGTAGGTCTCTGTCCATGCAGTCTGAAAATGACTGAATGACGAGGATCCAAACTAGTAAACAGTTCCAGTGTCACATTAGGACTGAATGGTCTTTGGTTATACATCAGTGTTTAAAACAAGAGATTAGGACTGAATGGTCTTTGGTTATACCAGATACCAGATTATGAAAACCTCTTGTGTTTTTTTCCCCAAGTACATGAAATTATTTAGTAGTACTGCACAAAGCCTCTTAAATGAGACCTCTGCAAGTGTTAATATTTAGCGGTTGATTAAATTAGATTTTTAATACTTACAAACAAACTAACTAACTACAATAGAAAAGAGCTTGAGAGACAAGAGTGTCGTGTGTTAGTTTTGTGTTGAAGAGAGTGTTTAATATTTAACCTGATGTGTTACTGATTATCTGCTGCAGAAGGAGGGAAAGAAGGACAAGGACAAGGACAGTGAGAAGGAGGATGAAGATGCAGGTAAATAGATAAATCACCACATCTATATTTGGTCTTTATTATCTTAAAAACACATTTATCTTGGATTTGTGTGAATGGATATGTGTTGCTTATTAGCTTTGGTTCAAATTACTATTATTATATATATATATTTTTTTTAAGTTATATTGTACCATTCAAAAACATCACATTTGGTCCATCCATTATTGTAATACTTGATCTAGGTCTACACAGGAACTGTGATTCAGAACAGAATTCTCCTCCTCTTTTGTTTTTGTACTGCAGGTCCTCCATGTGGGCCCATTTGCACCAATGAGCGGGTGGAGAGTCTCCTGAAGGAGGTGAAGCCTCAGATCCACACACTGAAGGAGAAGCTCAACACGGTCAGTCAGTCTGTTGCCTTTGTCTTCTGGGTGGATTTAAAATTTGTTTTTAATATTAAACTGCATTGCCCATATCTGTTGGGTAAATTTTACAGCTGACGTTCTTTTTCCTCTGAAAGGTGTCGATGTGGGTGCAACTCCAGATCCCCAAAATTGAGGATGGTAACAACTTTGGAGTCGCTGTGCAGGTAAAAATGTTGCTTCTTCTCAGATTTAAATGATGTGATGATGTGTGTTAATGACTTTTATTACTTCTGTTTGACAGGAGAAAGTGTTTGAGCTGCTGACCAGCACACGCACCAAGATTGAGGGATTCCAAACCCAAATATCAAAGTATACGACACACACAGTTAACAGCTTCCTAAAAAGTACTGTATATTTGCATCTTTGTGAGTGGTAAAATCAAGATATAACAAGTCTTAAATGATGCAATGAATGCAAATTAAACATTTTATTTTCTGTGTTGATTTAGAAATAAATGTCTTTTGTTTTTCCTGTTAAAATATTTTAATGTTAAATTCCACCAGTAGTAACTGCTTGCAGTTCATTGTTATGACAACTTGCAGACCCTGGTCAGGTTTGTGGTGCTCGGGTTCATAATTCTGTCCTGTTTATTTGTTGACACTGTGGTTGTCCTTCCCCTGAGGACGTTAAAGCCTCATGAAGATTGGTAAAGAACAATGTGTTGCTCAAGTGTGGGTTTTATTTGCAGCTTGTCACTAGGTGGCACTCTAGATAGTTTTGCCACACTTGGGTGGATATGTAATGTTATCCACTCCAAAAGCTTGTACAATATCTATACAACCCTTAAGACGCAGATTCTCCATGGCAACTACAAAAATCTATCAGGGTTTTTTTTTCTGTGATTCTGTGGAATTGGAGTCGAGCTCATGATCATTGTCTCTTTCTTTTTTTCAACAAAAGAAAACCTCTGCTCACACAGGAGTTAGAATTACAGCTAGTTTATTAAAAGTCTTATATTGATTGTCCTCACTTCACTTTAACCAGAACTGAGCTCTGTGTTTCAAAAGAGGAACCATGACATTTACCCTGAGGGATTGTAATCTCACTGTGCAGCAGCACATCACTGGTGTTCACACAGTGTTCACAGTGTTCACAATAACATGAACCTCTCCTTTGTTTTCTTAGATATTACAGTGAGAGAGGTGATGCTGTGGCCAAAGCCTCCAAACAACCTCACGTGGTCAGTATGCTAACTCTCTTGCTCAGTACGCACAGTCTGTGTTTTTCATCATTTTTTCACACTTTAACTCAGGACCTGTGTGCATGTATTTTGTGCTTCAGGGAGACTACAGGCAGCTGGTACACGAGCTGGACCAATATCAGTACTGTGAGCTGCGCCTCGTGGTCCTGGACATTTGTAACACCTACGTAAGACACGTCCATAACTGTTTTATTTCTACAATGTACAGAGAAGAAAATCTGTATGTGAAAACAATGGAAATAATATTCAGGAGTGATTGATCAAACCCTGCTTTTAAACCAAACTACATCCACAGCTGTGAAATACTCCAGCTGTGATGAAGCTGTGGAGGCAGTGAATAATTAAAACCTGTTCCTTCCTAATAGACTGGTAATTAAACTAATTGCAGTACTTGTGTTAAACTGATCCATTCTCCTCCTCCTGTCCATTAATCACCGTCTTCTCATCCTCTGTTTATTGTCCTGCTGTGTTTGATACTTCCAATGAATGCAGCAGTGCAGGTGATGATGAAAGGAGCCATTTAACACAAAAGCACAGCAGCTCTGAATCTCAGCGCTGCTCCCTTTTATTGCTCCCTCCAACCTATGTCTGTCCGACTGCATCGCCTTTTGTTTCATATCTCTTTCTCTTTGTCTCTCTTTTTTTTTGTTCTCTACCCGCAGGCCGTGCTGTTTGACATTATTAACAAGAACTACGACAAGATTAAGAAGCCCAGAGGAGATGGGAAAGCGCTCATCTACTGATCCTGACATCAGCACTCTCACAGGCCTTCACAGGATACAGAAAGTCTAGTGTGACACTCTTATCGAGTAACAAAATAGCCACTCTGATCCATAAAAACTTCTGCCTTCTCCTGTTGTGCATGCATTTTGTTTCACCTTACAAAATAAAGCAACATGATTCTGATAACTCTCACCGTGTCCCAAAAAAGGAATTTGAAAGTTGTTTTGAACCAGTGACAACACAAGAATCAACGTGACCTCCTCATTTATTCATGTCATTTCACACTTTTGCATTGAGAACAGTGTGTAACAAAAAGAACAGTTCATAGATTTGACAGAAGATATACAGGAATACACATTTTTACTGAAATGTTTTCAAGTTATTGTCAACTCTGAGAAAAACAGGAAATACCCAGAGCATTAAAACTCGCTATCATTCTCAACACATTTCCTTGTCAAAGTTTAGTGTTTGTCAGTGTCTGTACAGGGTGAGAGTCCATCTTTTGGCAAACAAACAAAACACCATCTGGGTGCAAACTTGTACCATCCCTGGTAAAGTCCTTTCCAGCCCAGGTAGCCCAGAGCTCCCCCTAACTGCTGGGAGGGGAGCTTTGGAAAGTATGCCAGCATACATAATAAAAGGAACAGCAGCACACAAAGAAGAAATACACTGAAGAGGAAGACCAATCTTAGGGGTGCTCCTGGAGATCCCTCCCGGGGTTTTCTCTGGGCTACATGGAGGCCAAAGACAGACAGTTCCTCCAATAAAAGCAGGCAGCACAGGCAGAGGATGAGGATGTCCTGGGACACTTCATATCCTCTCCACAGCATGTTGCCTCTGAGGCAGGAGGCCCTGGTTTGATCTTCATGCAGGAGCAGCATAGGCGCGCCTGCAGTGGCAGAGCTCTGGGCGTCGCCCTGTGTGACAGGCATGGGTTCATAACAGGTCCCTGTAGCATCTTCCAGTAGGGTCAGGAGGTGGCGGCACCCGCACCAAAGCAAACCCACCGCACCTATCCTTGAGAGGTGGCGCAGGGTAAGAGAGATGGAGTGTCGGGCTGAGAGGGAGAGTAGGAGGATGAAGGAACAGGTGAAGATGCAGGTCCAACCCATGGTGGATCTCAGAAATTTCCTGTAGTATATGATAAATGAAGAAAATTTTAAAAAATGTCATAGACACAAAATCATAAAATCACAGCTCACATATAGTGAGACCACAAACAAAGGTTGAGTTTCTCAATTTACTCTGTAGTGAGACCACAAATAAAGGTTGAGTTTCTCTAGTGAGACCACAAATAAAGGTTGAGTTGAGAATTTACTCTAGTAGTACATGGCGTACAGATCATTTTAATAATTATGGTTATTGTGTGTTGGTTACAAATTAATGACCATTTCTGGCTTTCTTACTGATATTTCAGCAAAAGTTGGTATTATTAACTATTAACTAGTAAAGATTCTGGGTAGAATACAACATAGATAAAATTCAGTGCAGGATAACAGTTAACAAGAAAAATTGTGTGTGCGTGCGACTGAATGTGTGAGTTATGTTTCACTGTGCCCAGAGGGTAATTTTTCTAGGATGTAAGTGATACAGCAGCTGCAGAACAATGCACAGTATTACAGAGACAGCAAAAAAGGTGGACACCATACTGAAAACAACACAAGATAGAATAAGATACAAACAAATTATATAAGATAATGTGAAATAAAATATGATAATTAATAACACACTGTAAATAGATTAAAAATGACATATTTACAAGAGCTGAGAATTACAAAAAATGTTGAATATAGCAAACATGTATGGTTGAACAATTATGAAATAAAAGTCACAATTTAGTTACCAGAAATATCTCATTTGATTATCCAAATGATATATTATTACAAAGGTTTACCAATCTATGGCAACAGCAAAAGGTAGATTCAAGTTTGATCACCTAAACCTGAACATTGACTTACTTTTACAAATTAATAAGCATTGGTATATGTACTGCAAGCTAATCTGTGCATGTCTGAAACAGAAACAGTATGCATGAGTTGTGGATACATCTAGCATTGGTCTATCTAAGTTTTAGAAGAAATGAATACAGAATATGTTGCAAATTTCCACGTTATTTCACCACTAGATGCTGCTAAGTCCAGCAGGCCAACTTCAAATTACATTCAAAATCTAATGCATGCCTGAGGCTTTTGCTGAGTATGGTAATTCCGCATCTGTGAGATGCATTAGTGTAAAAGGGGAACGTGATAAAAATAAACGTTTTTTTATAGTATATCCTGCCTGAAAATCCCACGCAGTAAGAGTGTTCAGTGTCAACATATTACATATTACTAATCACCTAAAAGAACCCCAGCAGAGTCTAACTCTATCTTAGAGCATAAGTAGTAAAGATTAAAGTGGGGAAAGCTCTCACCTGTACAGATAGTGGTGGCTGTTTGCAAAGATGCTGAACTTTGACACCCACAGACTGAGCACAGGCCCAAACAGAACCAAAGCTGACAGCATGAGGTGGAAATGTCTCCTGACCACGTGGCTGCCCAAAACAGTGGCCAACAGGTTTGTGACAGATTCCAGTATGGCATTCAGGATTCTGAAGATGAACTTCCCTGACAGCATCAGCTCCTCTGCCATTTTGTGCAACGTTTCCAAGGTCACCTCTGTTGTGAGGCTGTTCAAGGACTTTTCACTTGTCAAGTGTCCCATGTTCGTCCCGTCCACCTGTCTCATCAGGGTGATTCTATGGCAGACTTTGTTCTTTTTGTCCCTTTTTTTTCAGTCCTGAAGCTACAGCCTACCTTACTGTCTTTTGACTGAAAGTCACACCAGTCCCTCCCTGGGACCTTCCCACTTTATCACTGTCAGACATGCGGGAGAGCACATGTTTTACAAAAATACAACCCATCTGCCCTTTTGCCCCTCCCCCTCCCCAAACACAGGCTGAAAGTAGAGACACATTTAAAGCTGCTGTTGGATCTGACCCCATTCTTCTCCACAACAATCTTACACCAGACTGCAACACGCTCCCTCTCCTCTGACTCGCCTTTATTCCCAGGCACATTCCTGCAGTCGGCTGTTGGAGCCGACGTGAATACTCACTTTGATTTCAATTATACAATGTTGCCAGTCTGCATTTGGATTCAGAGACAGCTGCATTTCATCCACAGTACTTTCAGTTCTTTTTATTCCCAGGCCCAATCCTCAGGCCACAGCCTCCTAAAACCTCTTCAGCCAAATGGAATAAATTTAGTCTTTGCATGAGATTCATGCTTAGTGAAACACACTGCTCTATTTTCTCCAGCCAGAACTCCGAGTTCTACAAATGCTTCTGGAGTACATATGTGAAAAAAATATATACCTCTTGCGCAGACAGGCCGTGCTGGTCGCAGATTTACTGAGTGGCTCTAACTCCTTTTAAACTGTTAAATCTGACGCGGAATTTCAACATATCACGATAACATTTGACATAGCGCTCTGATGACTTCACTTTGTGGAACCAACATTTTCTTAAATCACAGCTGACTTGTTTTCCCTTTTGCAAAAATAATTACAAGCAGTGTGTCTCACTGAAACGCTGCCTCATATTGTAATGATTTAATCATAGGGTTTTTTTTTAGAAGCAAACTTGTAATAAGTAGAAACAATAAGTGTAATTCAAACCAGACGTGCCACAGAACCTCGGTCTAATTTTAGAGCTCTTGCTGCATCGGTCATTACGACGACCTTAAGACGACTTTTCTTGGTTCCTGCAGCAGCTGTGTTTCAGCTGTCTGCTATTTGCTACTGATAATAGCAGACCTGAATGATGGATTCAACCAAATGACCTGATTTCTTAAGGTGAGGTAAGAAAATACACAGCATTTACTTAAGGTTGTGCAAAAACTATTAGTGGGAATACAGTTCACAACAAGAATATTTGATTCAACGTAAAAAGATCTGTTTGTAAAAATGCACATTAAAGCAGTATTTGTACAAGAAGCCACATAAATAAGGTTTGTACAACGAAATCCCTGAAGTCATGGTAGAAACTGAACATTCTGATGGGCGCCAACATCTTTAATGCACACTCCTCATCTCCCTGATTGCAGCAGCCCTAATGGAAGTCCTTCACACAACTGTCTGTCAATGTCTGGACAACTGCCCGGCCAGGTTTGAATCAATGTGGCGTGCTGCTGCCCTAAAGTTCCTGGTGAACACCATACAAGCTAACGGAAACCCAGAGAAGGTAAGCAACTTCCATGCTGACTTTGGTGCAGTTAGCTAGCTAACCTATTAACAAAAAGGTTTACCGTGCTCCTTAATAACTAACTTTTTTTTCACTTCATGTTGCATTGCAATACGATTAAATTTAGAATAAATAAAGTAAGGTCTATTTATTGGTGTTGAAAACTGCATTTGATAATCAAATCTAAAAATAATAATTAAAAAAAAATACAGACCAACCACATACTTTGTGCAACATTTAAAATAAAATTTTATTGTTTTTTTTTGTTCAAAAACAGAGAGAAAAAAATCGGTATTAACACCTTAAAATTGTTTTAACAGTTGAGTGAGTTTAAGTTTTTAGCCCAGCGTAGAAATGCTCACGCCTTCATCAGACCTAACCCTAGGTTTGATGATCCCCTCAAACTCTTTTATAGAGTTCTATACTGATAGCAAAGTTAACTTTTGTTTTACTGGCTCAGAACTTGAGTTAAGAGCTTCGTGCTGACCTGCGTGAAAAACAAGACAAGAGGCCAGTGATGTTTTCTGACCTGAGACGACAGAAGATAATTCACACTTAATTATTGATCATTCAACAGCAAAACTGTATGTGTGTGTGTGTATGTGTGTTTGTGCCCTTCTCCTGAGTTACAGAAAGCCAGTGGACCGGTGGGGAACCTCACTGGGTTTAGTCTATGGCAATTAAAGCACTTATTTATTTTTTTTAATATATTCATTTTCAATATATTCTTTTAAACAAAAACTGAACTTAAACTTTGACAGCCCCTGGTATGTGACAGTGTAGTCAAGTCAGCACACTAACAACAATCTAAATGCACTTATAGAGTGCAAACACATCATTAAAATACTATACAATTATACACAATCATTCACCTCAGACTCTGCTCTGCTATATTTTGCCTTGATTTTTTTTTCTTAATGACTTAGCTTACGCTCAGATATCACCAGCTGAAGTGTATGCTGAAATAATATTGTTTCAGCACATTTGAAATTATAGCCCAAATAATTAAAACACCTCAGCCAGTAAGGAAATAAAAAGTAAAGAAAAAATAGGTCATTTGCTTAAGCTGAATTCTTAATTCCAGGCTTTAATGCCCTTCAAATAAACACATAGAAATCATTTCTGTCCAGCATCCGAGACAAGACATCCGAGTCTCTCTCGGTCCTTCTGGGCTTATTATTTACCTCCGTTTGGACCTCTCTCTCTCTCTCTCTCTCTCTCTCTCGCTCTCTTCATACAAGATCTTTTCCTCATCCCTCTTCTTTCTCACCATCATTCTCTGTCCATCTTTCGCTCCTCCTCAAGAGGATGTGTTTGTCTGTGCTCCCACATCTGAACTGCTCCGTCCCACTGTTGACAAACAAAGAGGAGAAACAGGAATCAGAATTTATACTTTTTATCCAGGTTACTGCCGAGCAAGAAAGTTATTAAAATTGAACAATAAAAGGTTGAAAATAAAGAAAGTTATTAAAATTGAACAATAAAGGTTGAAAATAAATTTAAACAATTTAAACCTATGGTACTCTATGGCCAGTCCATTGGACGGCCACATCTAATGACAAATATGTTCAGCATGGCCCCCACTATATATACATTAAAAAAGTATCAAAATATCAAAATATAGATGTAGTGCCTTGGTTCTCCTGTAGGGATGCTACCCTCTGTTTGCATTTCAAACACATTGCATCTCGTTTTCCTTTTATTTGGGATCAGGGAGCTTGGAGGAGCGGCTGGCAGTAACGCAACTGTTGAAACTGTTAAAACCTAAAGAAATACGGAAAAAGGGTGGATGGGAGAGGGAGGGGTTACAGCTGAACTCTACTCACAGAACTGCTGATAATATTGTCCTCATATGGATGCCAGCTGACGTCCCTAACACAGGCGTCATGGTTGGACAATTTAGAAACAACAGAGCCTGTTAGCACATCATAAACTGTGAGAGAGAGAGAAAGTGTGAGAGAGAGGGAAAGCGAGGGAGACAGGGAGAAACATCAGAAACACTGCAATCACAGGATAGAAATCATACAATGTTGCCAGGATGGCATTTTCTTCTTTAACAGATTACATTTTGGCCTTTTCATGAATTCTGGAGCCATTTTGGATCAGGTCTAGTTTCATATGTTGATCCATTCCTTCTTCCAAAGACAAAGAGTCACGTCTTCAGCAGCTATTTAGTCCCCAAAGGAGGCCCAGCAACAGACGTTACAGTGACATAATCGGTTTCATCTGGATCTGTTTCTACTACATTTAGTCAAAGTTTAGGTATTTTACACATAAGATGCTAATGTTCTGGGAGGAGGCCAGTCAGTGAGCAGAGCTCTTGGCCTATTAACAATCAGCATGTAAATCAAATAGGCACTGTGAATTTTGTGTCAGATTTAATTTTAATTAATTAATTTTAATTTACTTACTAATATTAAGTAAATTAAACTAATATTTAATTTACTTATTTGATCTAAGTCAAGTTAGACAAGTCTGTGTCACAACAAGAACCTCTGCTGCCAATTCGGATAGAAAATTGCTGCACTCTGCCTGACAACTTTACAAAACATCCTCCATCACTAGGACTGTGACGCAGTGACCCAGAGTCAGGTTTGAGCCATGTTTACATTGCAGTGCACCGTAAGACCGGCACTGATACGACGCCCAAATTGTTTTACACTTACTGACGATTTTTCCCGTTGAGCAGCCAGAGTAGATGAACCTCTGACCGGTACTGAACTCTGGTGAAAATCGGCAGCGGATGAGCGTGTGCAGAACGCCATGACCACGATAGGTCATCACCGACGTGTCTCCAGTCAGTTTGTGTCTTTTCAAGGCTGCAACGGAGAAACAAATAATTGATTAAATGAAGAGGGCAACAAAAAAGGGCTGGCCTACAAGACAGACAGATACGAAATGTTTTTAACATAAAACACATGAAAAAAAATTACTTTGTCGAGATTTCATCTTTGTCCCAGAAACCTACTACAAAGCATTCAAACTCTTACTTTATAATGCAAACCCATAATAATTACGTACATGTATACTTCAGATGCTTGACATCTTAATCCCTTCCTTCCTCACCTTTTGGTGGAACCTGCTGCCAGCGGTAATCCCAGTTTTGATGTGTGACAGCCAGACGTGAGGCTGCCAGGCCTTCCTTGGGTGAGAATTTTCTGATGTCCCAGAGTTTGATGGACTGGTCCTTTGAGTTGCTGATCAGATAGCGTGCATCTCCCTGGCCCAGTGGAAACACACACACACACAAGAACCAGATTTTTGAAAAAAAAGAAAAAAAGGAAACAAATTGTACCTGTGAGCCCCTGAGACTATTAGGCTGGACTCGAAATGAGTGTACTGTGGCTAATTTGGGCTTGTAATTAATCATTTTCAGTCAAATCCAAATAAAATGCCAGCAGCATCTTTTTTCCACCTTGCTGTGGATGAAGGTAATGCCGTCTCGGTGTCCAGCCAGCTGTCCCACGGGCTGAGGTCTGTCCTCTTGCAGCATCCGTCTGTCCCACACCTTGCACACTGCGTCGTCGCTGCCAGAAAATAGCAGCTGGGATGAGCTGTCCGCAAATGCCACAGCGTTCACGTCGTCTTCATGGGCATCAATCTAAAAAAGAAGAACGAAGGAAGTGTCAGTGACTAACAGTGCAGTGTGTGTGTGTGCGCGAGTCAGAATGTTGCTGAGAAAGACTGAGATAAAATGGTTTTCTCATGAATAAATGCTAAATTTAAATATGAAATTTAAATTCTTAGAAATAGCAACAGGCCAGTCTATTGGAATGGATCAGAGTGAAATACAGTGTTTGTATCACAAGGAATAAAAGTGTCAGACAGTGCGACAATGTAGCTGACTCATGTTAGTCTTTGGAAAACAATAGAGCTCTGTGGCTGAGAGGAATAAAACACCTCACTTGTTCATATGAGACAGTGTTGGCTTCAGACCTTACTGCAATTAGGTTATAACTAAAAAAAAAAAAAAAAACCCCAAATTTGTTTACCAGCGTCATCTAAAAACACAAGGATGCCAAAAAAGGGCAAAGGTAATTCAGAATAAATCAGAGAATCTGTCATGCAGAGGTAAGAGAGCGTGTCAGATCATGATGAAGCAGATGGCAAATGATTTCCACACAGAGGGTGGTTGTGGGAAGAGGAGGTGGATTTAACCCCTCTGCCCCACTGACAGAAGGATCAGGACTCCTTTTGTTACGATAAAAGCAGCAGAGCAGATTTTGACATTATGTGACCCGGTGCAGGCTTAGTAATATTTATTTTTGCCTGATGTGCAGACACAGATGCAGCAATAACAGAAATCATTAATTGAGGAATTTACCTTCAATGTTCTTTTATTCTGCTCAAGGTCATAAACATACAGGCAACCATCATTTGCTCTGAAATAGGGAGGAAAGAAAGAATGAAGCAATATTTGATTGAGCATGTCATTTATTTGTTTGGTTATTTTGTGCAGATCTAATCCACATTCTTTTGGCTTTTAATAGATGAGCCAAGCTTGGAAAAGATGGAAAACCAAATGTCTGTTCCTCACAATACTGTAATAAATATGAAATGAAATTTTCCCGAGAGCTAACCAAACAATTTGTCGTAACAAAATCTCTGCAGTTCATTATGACAAAGATGATGTCACATATTTAACAAGAGAAGTTCACTCTTCTCACTTGGCTTCTGGGCGTTGTAAGTCAGACTGTGTTCTTGTGTTTCTAGGGTTTGGTTTTGACGAGATAGCAAAGCATTTTCTAAAACATACTTCAAGCTTAAACATCATGGCAGAACACTCCGTCATTGTTAAGACTGGAGTGAAACAGCTAACGTAGATCTCTTATCTTATTATAAAATTAGAAAGCAGGAAACAAGGTTAAAAAAAAGGTGTATAATGAACTCACCCTCCCAGGACCTCTTTGCCATCTGTGGATGCAGCCAGGGAGAATACACAAAACCTTCTCTCGTCTGGACTACAACCGCACATACACACATATACACACACAGAGAGACACAAGCAGGTTGAAAAGGCAGCAGTGGTACAATGATGGAATAACAACTACACCATCCATTGTATGTATGTCATGCCACACCAAAAGGATGGATAAAGGCACACGTCAGCCGTTAAACAATGCGTGTGAAGGGTGTGTGTTTGCGTTTAATGGCAGTGCCGTGTTTAAACAGTGATCTCTGAGGCTGACAGAGGAACACACAGTACCACGGGCTGGATGTAGATGAGTTTCCAAGTGCATCATTCAACCAGATGGAAATGGACACAGGAAATGAGAGATTACCTTATTCCTAATGTCATAAGTTACTATTGGGAAAACACTAACTTGAGGTCCAGGGCGGTGTGGTGTTCACTGTCTCCATCTAAACTGCACATGTGAACTGTTTGGAAGAAATGTGCAAGGAAATGATTCAGAAAATAAAACAACATGTCATGAGATCTAATAAATATATGTTTATACACGAAATATGTTAGATAAGTAGGATGACATTGCTGTTGGTTATTCGGGCCTAGAAAACTATATGTTCCAACATATTATAACAAATATAACAGCATAAAATAAATCAAAGTGTAAAAAGTATTTCAGATATTTTTAGTTTTTCATACTTGGTCCTTTTGATGACTTTAAAACTGAATCCAACACTCTACCTATTAAACGAAAGACAAACCATCCTAACTTGTCAGTTGCCACACTAACTATAGCATTTAGTAAGTCTTACTGTAGTCAGACCAACTGGAGTAGAGAACATGGTGAGCATCGGGAGTAAAGCAGACGTCGAGAACGCTCCAACCCACATCACGAGCCTTCACTGTTCGGACTAAATTAAAACGCCCCTTGGTGGTATCGTACAGACGGATGTTCTGGTCTTCAATGAGCAACAGAAAAAAAGACATGCACCGTCATTAAAAGTTTATTCCTAATTCTGAACTTTCAAACACAGAAGAAGAAAAAACATGAATAAGCAAATTACCTACAACCTACAACTCTTGAAGTCTATTGCATGTCAATTGCTTATATTATTTGAAAAAAATGCCTATATTTTTATTTTTAAATCTGTGTCTTAAAAACAGATGAGATTTTCACCTTGGCAGGCAGAGAGGAACATGTTGCCATCTTCACTGTACACTCCACAGAAGGCTTTCTGCTCGTATGTGTCCTTGTGTGACACATAGTTTGGCAGGTAGCTGTTGAGGTAACCGATGATAGAAAAAATCAACTGAGAGCCAAGAGTTAATGCTTTGTCAGGAATGAATGTTTGACTTTAAAGTGACATTTTGCAGTTTGCGAGAGTGACACCGAGTGATACTTTCATAAGAAAATTTCATTTTGAAAATCTTACTGTGAGCGTATCCGACTGCACTCCCCGTGAGAAAAACTGGATGCTCTACATCTGCCTTGTTCTCTCTAAAGATGTGACAAGATCATTGGAAAGATTTTAGAGCTTGGGACTGACTAAGAAATATCCCATCATATGAGTTTATCTGTAACTAGGCAACCAACAATAGGTGTTACATTGCTAACCTCTGTTAGCATGTGGGTAAAACTGCGTTGGACTTTCTGGGCAGAAGAGGCAGTAGCCAGCAGGATCTGAGTTCGGATCTCACTTTTGTCAACCTCGAGTGTGTCCGGCTGAGCATCCACTAATAAGGTGCACACAAGTAAATTGATCAGATGCATTTCGAATTATTATAATTAACAAGCCATCTGAACATATGTCAATTGTTACCTGGTGGGTTGTAGCGATCACCTAGTCGACCTTCCCAGGCTCCATCACTGTCCTCATCAGAGTCAGAGTATGACTGGACCAACTGCAGCCCTGTGGCTCCACTGCCATGGACCAGCCTGACCTGGCCCCTGCGCACAACAATGTCACGAGTAAAAAATGGAGACCAATAGGAAATGGATGAAAATAGTAACTGATTTCTTCTTTTTTTACCTCCTTAGTAGGTAAGCCAGCACTTCAGCTAAGTCGAAGTCCTCGTCTGATGACCGTCTATCTGCAGTTCTGCTAGGGGGATTTGATTCTGCTGCTTCAGACTGTTCAGCTGGGTTGTCACTGGAGGAGCTTCTCCCACCAGACATCCCAGAACTAGACTGAGAGCCCATAGACTGAAGGATGCCTGGAGAAAAGGGTTACGTTTTTGGTAAGTTATTTCTCTTTTTATTTTTTAGTTCATGAAATCCATTGTTTGATTTCTAAAATCCAGGAAAGCATGGAGAATATGACATTGCCAGCATGTTTTCCTACCCCACTAGTTGCTGCAGCTCTATAAAGGACCTTATTATTATTATTTTTATTTTATTTGTTTTTAGTAAAGCGTCTGGTATATGTGGCAATGGAGAAAGTAAAGCTAAATAATGATATTCAAAAAAACTTGGAAAGTGCAACTAATCTCCTTTAACACTAAGCTCCATTGTCGATTTTACTGGACAACACGGGTGATAATTTACAAAACAAATAATGCCCATTCGCTACAGGCTGTAGTTAAATGTACATCTACATCAGATGCAGATAGCAGTTTCCCTTAGCCCCCAAACGTCCCCGTCTCCACTGAAACACTGCTAACAGCTAGTTGTGGATGCTAACGAATTAAATTACCGCGTGTCCGTCAGACGGCCTTCTCCAGCTCCGTGTGTTTGTGTGAGATCACAGCGGTTTGTCATGAGTAGGACGCTGTCTTAGAGGAGAGATGTTGTTTATAATGTGAAAACTGCAACGGGGACACTCAGACGGCCGCCATATTGTTTACCAACGTAACAGAGTAAGAAGAAAAACACTGCGTCTTCCCGTTAGCTGTCACGTGATCTAGGCTTGTTATCAAAGGTGTTTAAAGTAACATTTTTTAAAATTGATAAATAGTTCACGTTAATAGGTTGTTTTGTCTGTCATTTTTCGTTCATAATAAACTTAATATCTGATCGCAATTGTTTATTAATTAATTTAAGACATATCTTTGCATAATAGTTCTTTCTTGAGATACTTAATATTTAATTGTAAATGCTAAACTGTATTTTTCCAAATAAACATGTTTGTTTTTTTAAATTAAAAGTAATTAAAAAATAAAATTAATTAAAACTTAAATTAAGTTTGTGATTTAAGTCATATTACAAAATCAAACTCTACAAAACAAAATTCTATATAGTGACAAAATACTTAACATATAACATAGTTGTGTTATATAATTTAATATGGTGACAGAATATAACTCATGGGACAAATTGTTGGGTCGTCTGCATCTGTAGCTGGCTGCCCTATATCATATCAATCTTTTTCTTCTCTTTGGATACAGTGATGTATAAATACTTTATACTTAAGATAGAATTAAGGTAACTTAGTAAGATAGTCTTGCAAGATTCTGACATGTATTAAGTCTTCCCCACGAAATACAAGGAGAGGGTAAACAAAGGAGCTGATGTACAAAGTCTCACCTCCTTTATCCTCAAGTGTAGTCAGTGAAAGCAAAAACAGTGAAATATATGAGCTCGGTCAACATATCATATATGTTTTTAGTCTTACTCATTACATTAGCAGATTTATTTTGTTTGCGTTAGTACTGGATGGAAACTTTCTCTTGTATATATGTTGTATACACAATATGTTGTATACTTTAGTTAGCCATTTAATTATTGACTCACACAGAGACGAGACAATAGATGACCTTCAGCATGGTTGGCATACTGTCCTTCACTGTTTTTTTTTCTCACATTCACCTGTTTCTTCCCAAAGTCCCAGATAAGCAGTTTCAGAATGAAGGTAGTCGTAGAAATTGACTATAGGTATAATAATTTATTGTTTTTATGTGCACAACGAAACTGAGCCTCTGCTTTTAACCCATCACCGAGGGGAGCAGTGGGCAGCTTTTAAGTGCCCGGGGAGCAGTGTGTGGGGACGGTGCCATGCTCTTTAATCTCCAGTATAGTACAGTATACATGATACGTACATTGGTGAAAAGACACTCTGGTGCTGCAGAATGATATTATTAAGTTATTAAGCATTTAATGGAGGCAATAGTACTGAACTCTATAGACTGCAGATGATGTGACATGGAAACCTAACAAACATACATGAGCAAAAAAAAAGACAGAGAGGAAAAAAATGCAAATTGGACAGTATGAGTTGCATGTGTCATGGATTTAGTTAGTTTAACCAGCTGCCATATATATGATCCTATATGGACACTGTATTCAAGCATATATGTGCTTGTGTAATTGATCTGGAATGTATTAGAAACACTGCGTGCCAAGTCCAAATTGTTGCCTGGTTCTGATCATAGTCTGTACATAGTTTAATATATATTTATGTGTGTGTGGGGGCATTCAGATTACCTTTGGTATTATAGTTAATTAATAACTTATTTTCTTATTCAATTTACATTGTTGTACACATCAAACATCATCACTGGTTTCTTATAAAACATGCATCCTTTTTAAAGTGGCCAAGTGTTCAGGATTATTTTTTTTGAGGTAAACGTCCATTTTCCCAAGAACTCTTTCATGTGGATTCAGGCCTGTGGAGACAAATGAGAAGGAAAAAAAACAGATCATGTTTTGAGAGCCTGGTGTATTCTTACATTTTCTGGTTGACATCTATAGATAGCTTACCCAGTTTTTTAGCTATATTTTCAATCTTCTCCAGAGCAGCCTGAACATCTCCTCCCTTTGGTATTACCACCTCCACCTCACCTACTTGGTAGCCAAAGTCAGCTTGGTCCAGATCTACATTCACACCTTCCCCCTTTAAAGCAAATGACTGTCGTATTGTTGTAAATTCTGCAAAGCACACTAGATTTGCATTTTGCACCCAAGATTCTTCCAGGTCTAACTGGATTGGCTTTGTGCCTCTTTCTTCACAAACAGCATTAATGACTTCTATTACTCTCTGGTGAATTTCATGCAGGTTCGTTAACTCATTGTATTGTGTGCACAGCCCTGCTTTACTTTGCTGTCCACTTGAATTTTGCGTGCTGTTGACTGACTGTGTAGTAGGACACTTGAGTTCCCAGCATCCCTTACGTTTACGAAGCCACATGTTTCTCAAAGTAAGGTCAAATGTGGGAGTGTCAAAGTACTGGTCATGAAACTGATGGTGACCAACACAGACTGGCAAAAAAGGGAAACAATTGATTAGAGTCAATGGAGGTCCACCACAGCAGAAAGGTCCAGCAAATGTTTGAGAGGACATTTAGTGAACATTATGAAGTTGACAGGGAGCATTAGATAAGAGCCTTTGCTTTAAATTTACTCACGTGTGTCTGGTAGACAAATTTAACACATACCCCCAATCTTTTCCAGTGTCTTTAAAGTGTCAGGATTGCATGTGAACTTTCTCTCCACTTCCACACTCATCTGAAATGATAGGAGTGACATCAAAACCAAGAACCAACCAGTAGTGATTAGTTAAAATGCCATTTAACATGACTTTGACCATTGTAAATATAAGGTCACATTTCTGTGACACCTAACACTACATGAATGTACATGCTTACATACTGTGTTGAAGATGACATGGCAGCAAACAAGAATTTGGCAACCTGGTAAATACCTTATTTATAGTTATGTACATACAAACATAATATAGTGGATCATTAAGTATTTAGTGACAGATTTTTATTTCAATTTTAATAAAATTTCTTTATATATGATGTATTGGGTGGAGGGAGATGTTGAATACTTGGGGGCAAATATTTACCAGCTTCTACAGAAAACGAGATTTAAAATAATACTATTTACAACATACTTTGACCATTGTTGCCAGTGTCATATTTTTAATGTATTGAGATTAATTAAAAATCAGCAACAACAAAGGTATATCATTAAATAAACAATATAATTTAGTAACAGTAACTGTACTTTAAACGAAACAATCTTTTGATTTTTCAAACCAAGATTATGTAACAATCTTCACAAAGTTTGAATCAAACGAAGTACAGAGACAAAAGTTCACGTGCAGGTCATGTTAACTAAATTGTGCAATTCTATTAAATTTATTTTCTTTAGCAACGTTGTTATTAAATTAAAAACGAGACACTAATATTTCTAAATACGAGGTAATTCCTTCTGCCTGGTCTCAGCTGTTCTGCTGTTTGCAAAACACTCTCGCATGGCTTCCTAATACAAATCCAATAACCAACGCACGCGGATTCAAAAGGGTGAGACGATAACTCCGTAGACAGCCCCCACATACCTTTATGTGGCAAATACCTTCAACCAAGTAAATCGGCATGAAAAAACCCGACGAAGGATAAAGCCAGGGTCGTCACACGTCAGCAGAAGTGTTAATTCTGCACAGGCGCAGTCACAGACAGCTATAGAGTGTTTAGAAGCGTCGTCTCCTGCCCCACTAACGCATGGGCGTAGATGGTGCAGTTATAATCCACCCTTCTTCATCAATATTTAACCCCACAAACTCCCTACAACCACACTGACCGTAGGGGAAATACGCGGGACACAGCCCACGTCCGTGTAGCCCTTTATTTATTTGTCAGGTCCCCAGAGTGACACTTCATTATCCAGGCGGGCGGGACGAGTGTACTCTAATCCACCTTTAATGGGAGAATGAGGAAGGTTTAATAATAAAGGGAGGGGCTGGAGATAGTGGGAGTGGGCCCCCGTGACACACATACTTTAATAGAAGTTCATGGAGGCTGCATTGATTAGTTATATGTTATCGCTGCTGATTTATTATAAATTAAGCAGTTGTACGCGTGTTATATAAGATTTTGTCTCGTTGTCCCTCTGAATGTCAACAGCCAGCCTCGGGGGGAGCTGTGGTCTGTTTACTACAGAGGAGAGGGAGGGATAAGAGCCAGAGCATAGCGAGAGAGAGAGAGAGAGAGAGAGAGGAGAAGAGAAGAGAGGGAGGGCAGGAAAGAAAACTTTTCACTTCTGAGGAGCCACAGAGGAAGCGTGTGCGTGTGTGCGTGCTGGAGCGGTGACCATGCAGGTAAAACGCATTAGCTAATTGCTCTCAACTTAATTAAACGCGCTTGTAACCGCTTAATTGTGTTGCTTTGTGCGTAAGACTGGCCTGCGACTGTCGGAGGGACGGATAGACGACCGAGCGAACCTCCCGCAGACACGATCCCCTTTAGAAATCCAACATTAAAAGCGCAAACTTTTTCTGCTTCTCGTCTCTTTTCACTCGCTCTCCCGACACCACCCCCACCGTCGGCCGACCGCGGCACCCAGTCCTCCGACTCTCAACCAATTTTCGGATCCACTTAAGGGCAAAACCAGCGAAAATGTAGTTTACATGGACATGTGTTGCGCCGAAGTGTTTTAGGTGTGGATTTCAGCGCTAGAACGCGTCTAATGGGGGTCTGTTGGGCGGGGGGTACGGGAGAGAGAGGGGGAGGCACTGTTTTCTACACATCTGTGAACGGAGCCACGTTCGTTAATTAAACGGCTGTGTAGGCCTCGCTCTACGCTCAGCGACAGCGGCGGACAGACGCTTTACATGCTCTGATCCAGTGGGGCAACGAAGCTAAATAGAGGCCGAGGTGTGTATACGTAAAGCTTAGGCCGGGTGTGTGGTTTAATTTGGTTTTTAATGGCGTTGAAGCGGTCGATGTATAGGAGCTGCAGCTCCCACCTGAACCAGGGCAGAGTTTTGTGGGGGGAGGAGGGCAGTTAATTATCTGTCTGCTAACTGGCTACGGCTAACAAAGTCACTCGACTGCGCTGATCTTTCTGACTTTTAACGGAAGAAAAACAACAGCAGACAGCGTTAACGGACACCAGGTTCTCGGACACAGTTGAGCGGCTTTTATCATGGGATTACTAACACTTTATTACGGTTGCAGCTCGTCTTCTAAGCCCGTTGTAATGCAACGTTTTAGCTGCTAGCTAATTGATTCGTCTCCTGTTGGCATAGCTAATTAGACTTGTGATTAATTAGTCAACTATGGGCAATGAGGTGTCAGGCTGCTCATGTCATAGTTTTTAATTATGAAATGGTGGTGATGGGCTGTCACAGACGTTGAATTAAGTAAATGGAGCCTTGTCGGAGCATTTTGTAGTCGAACAACTCCGCTAGCCTGCTAATTGGCATGAGAAGGAAATGTGGCGTTGAAGCTGTTGTACAGCTGCATCGTGGATTATGGATGTTTGCGAGGAAAGCTGCGGGGTCTGCAAACACACCGCTGTGTGAGATTTGAAAATAAGTTAACATGTTTTAATCGAAACTTCGAAGTGAGCTTTGCAGGGACGGTTGAAAGTGATGGTGAATTGTTAGCTATGGCACGTACTCAAATGTTTTCTTCTTGAATGTTTGCTACATGTATTATGCATTTAGAAAACGAATAACTGTAGATTGATGGAAGAAACCTGCATTTATGTTAATATTTTTAAGTAATCAGGACTTTTCTGGCTAGCGTTAAACGTAAACATGACTGCCCTTTGCAAGTATTTCCGTCCATACAGCTACTTTTTTAAGTCTACGTTATTACCAGAGAGGTGGTCTGCGAGACTACATGGTATTAATGACTTAACTGTGTAGTTTATTAAATTTGACCCGGTTTGGTACAGTGAAGTTATAAATTTTCATTTGCAAGACAAAACCTCAAAAATATTGGTCCCTTATTCCATGACGGGAAGCCAATACATTGTTTGCAAACACAGTTGTTGGATATATACAATGTCACTGCAAGTAAAGCTTGCCTAATATGTGCAGCTTGCCTTCATGGCATTATCTCATTAACATAACAGGAAAGTGTTTATTAGATATAAACACTAAGCAAATAGTGTTGCATAACTAATTGTAATGCAAAGAAGTTGAGCCAGTTGTGTTTTTATCTAGAGTATGTCAGTGCAATGTAAAAAAAGGTGTCAAACAAATCCTTTGTTGTGTAATCTTTCTTTCAGTTAGTAGTTGGGGAAGAAACTAAAAAATGAAACAAATTATTTAGGGCAGCAGTAATTATGTTTTTGGTTTGCTATTGTGTGCTCATTGAAACAGTATGGATTAGTCCTTACAGTGTATACATAAATCTTACCAATCAAAGGTTTGAGGTGGTTTTATTTACAATGTAGTTCATTTACCATCTTCTATCCTGCGTTGCTTTGCATATTGTTTTCACAATCCTTCGTATCGTCTGTATAGCTTGTTAGCTGAAATTAAATGTTTTCTGAAATGTGCTCTTTACTTAACAGGAGGAGTCAGGAGAGACAGTAAGCAGTGAAAGCAATGGGGTGGCACAGTGGCAGTGCCCCCTGTGCCAAAAAGGCCAACCAGACAGATCCTCCCTGTCTTTGCATCTCACAGATCAGCACAGTGTACTTCCATCTTGTGTTGAAAGACTCCTGGACATTGTAAGTATGACTTTCTTCTCATTGGGAAAGCATTTTAAATTGGTCTCACACATTGTTTACATTCTTAAGGGGTTATTTTAGGACATCACATATGTTTTACATTGTTAAATAGTTGTTTACCTACTTGTTGCTGGAGAAAAAAATATTGCTTAACATCCAGGCCATTTACCTTTTTAGAGGGGAAGGAAGTGTGTTAACTTTTTAACAGTTTTCATACTGCAATTAATAAACTGATGGTTGATGGACATTTAAGTGGCTTAAGTAAAAAGACGGAAAAGGAGGCAGTTCTCAAATGCTATGTGCATGTGATTCAAAATTATGACTAATTTCTACACAGTTGAATAGTCTTTATTGTTTTATTTCATATAGCTACAGTTGGCCATATATACATATACAGAAAATATTAAAATACTTTTTGAAATTGTGTATATAAAGACTCATTACTTAACTAAAAGAGGTTTCAATAATACATTTAAATGTAATTTATATAACAAATTATACACATCTCCTCCACCCTCTGCATAGGACAATTGAATATTGAGGTGTGACTTGTTCTTTGTTTGTATTCTGTATTTGTGCACTTTCTTTACAGATAACATTGTGTATATATATATAAAATCATCTCGTCTTTACATCTTAACACAAGTTTTACATTTGTACATATGCATGTGAATAATTAGAACTGGATGAAACTTTAATTCTAAATGTTACTGATTACTAGCAATCTCATATATCCCTTGAGGGTAATTTGCTTAAATTAAAAGCTAGCTAAGTTTACTATGTGTAATACAACCACATGTTCAGTTACGCCCAAATCTAATTCTGCTTTAGAAACCTGCTTTCTTTCAACACATCTGAACAAAGCTGTTAGATGACTGCTTCCTGTCAAGAATTTCTACTCCTAATTTCTACTTTTTGAACAGGCTGTTCTAAAGCAGAGTCTCAGAGGAGGAGAGGACCAAGTCGCTCAGAAATCCTCAGGTGAGAAAATAATTAATGGTCTGGCAATTATTGTGACACTGTTACACAGTGGATTTTACTAATGTTTCAAAATATTTATAATAACATTATTATTTTTATCGTTGTTGTGTGTTTTGAAGTATAACAGTACAGGAAGGCTGTATTTTTACATTGATACATATGTTTTTTGTCAGATCCTGAATCCCAACAACAAAAATCCAGTGAAGACGACTGTTCAGAACCCTGCCAATCCAGCCACGATTCAGACGCTGACCTGACGCTTGGAAACAAAGAGATGGAGGAAGAGAGAATAATGGAGCAGGAGGGAGGTAATGCTGAGCATGAGCCAGAAGAGGAGGGAAATCAACTTACAAGCGCCAAACAGCAAAATACAACAGAAAACACAGAAATCCCAGATGCCAGTGAAAAGTCAGTTGGCAAAAATGGTGTGCCAGCTGAAAATAACACCCGCTCATTCAAATGCAACGCCTGCCTTGAATCTTTTCCCAGCAGAACTGCCTTGAATGTTCATTACAACTCTGCATCCCACATTCAGAGGATGACGATGGGCTCTGCAAAACAGGGTGGTGATAGTGATCCCCAATCTCCCTCAGTTCCTGTTCTGCCTCGGCCATATGTATCAAATAAACCCTATCAATGTGCCGTGTGTCGAGTCTCTTACAACCATGCCATAACCCTTGAGAGCCATATGAAATCTGTCTTGCACCAGACCCGCACCAGGAATGCTGGGATCACTGCTCACG